TAAGTATATTATTATGGCAGTGTGATTATTTGTGTAAGTTCAATATCAGTCTGTCCTCTTTACAACAGGGCGTAATTTGAAACTAGTTTTCATTACCAAGACTCTGGCGGCAGTATATTTGAGAGAGAAATGCATAGAATCAGATATAACCAGATGGCTTTAAGAAATTAAGGTTGCCTTCTGGAAGTCCATAGAAACCCTTGATGTGATGGCTTGCTTACATAGTTCCCAGCAGCCTTACCATGTGAGTAAACAATGTCACTTCTTGGCAGGTGCAGGAACCTCAAGATATTTGGGGGCCTCAAGGAGAGGGCAACTCGCCCTAAACCAACAGGCATCGCAGGCACTTCCGGACACCACGGCATTGCCCTGGCTTTGCTGGCCATCAGTCCTCTTCTGTTCAGTCTGCAGATTCCGTGTGAACAAGTCCAGCAAGTGGCTACATGACTATTTAACGTTCTTGCTGGACTTACACAGATAATAGGCCCAGTTTATTAAAACTGGACCATGTTGCAAATAAATAAATGATTCCTAATTTGGCTATTTTTGTTAACAATAGGTGATTTGAGAGAAAAAATTATGTTGCAAAAGAAACTATACTCTGTCTTTGTAGATAGTAGTTTCTAGTACTATCTCTTGACTTCTGGGTTTTGTTTTATTTTCTACTTGTAAACTGGGCAAGACCCTGAATTCTTCTAATGTCTGCTTATGACTCTCCAAACATAGTTCCAATTTTTCTCTCATCTTTTGAGTAGAAATCACTGAGAAAAGTGCCTTTTTCCAAAATCATGCCAGCTAATGATGACAATTTGATATAAAATTCAGAAAATGGCCAGAATGGCACATCACTACACAATATGTCAATGTCTGATGCTGTGTAAGCAACGCAGAGGATTTACCTACAAAAAATGGGGAGTCCTACTTTAAAGCAGATGTGCCAAAGCACAGGGAATGCCGTGGTTTTCCCTCCTGAACAGAAGATTTAAGATCCCCTAACCTTGTATGCCGTGTCCCACGCAGCAAGGATGATGGGGAGTGACAGGGGCCGCACAGGGTTAAAGAAACACAAGAGTCAAGGACAGAGTTAAAACGAGGCCAGGGGGCAGCAGTCTCTCTGGGACTGAGCCCCGAACTGGCTTTTATTTGGGAACTTCAAAGAAGTGAAGCTTCTTATTTCTAAAGTCCATGTGATAAGTGCCTTAAGGCCAGTTTCTATCAACCACCCCCATTTTACTCCAACACATGCTGTGCCTTCATACTCCCACACACACAACCCCCAGGATGGTGCAGCTGTACCATGGCCATGACAATAAGGGAAATAACCGACATCATTCCACCGGGTCTCAGCGTTCCGGGACACTCCCTCATGACCTCATTAGGTCAGGGTTTGGTGTGGGGGGCTGGTCAAGGATGAAGCTGTAAGACAACAATGTAGTAGCAATATTAGGAGGAAATACAATCTGCCCTGAGAATATTGCTGACTGTACATTAATATGTGGAAGGTACCCGGCCACATTTTAGAGGAAATCATATGCAACATCATGTGCACCCAGAACCCATTTTGTAGGACTTCTTATGTGTGGATGCGTTTATTTTTCTAAAACATGTGTGTTTGCGTGCATGTGTGGTGTGTGTGTACTGAGCAGGTAATATGAGAATTATAATAAAAATATGTCCTCATATCTTGAGAAATGATTCCCACATAAGTTTTATTATCATCCATCATCTCATATAGATTCAAAAAAAGTGACAAGAAAACAAAAAAAGAAAGGTGTTTTTTCTTGTGCTGAGTACTTGGAGGATCTACTCTCTCAGTGACATCAAACACACCACACAGCCGTGTTAACCAGTCAGCGAGTTGTCATCACATCTCCAGTGTCACCTATCCTGTAACCGCAAGTTTGTGCATTTTGATCATCATCAATTCTCCCACTGCCCAACCCCCATCTGTGGTCATGACACATACAATCCCTTTTTGTATGCTATTTTGTAGATTCCACAGATAAGTTAGATGATACAGTATATGCCTTTCTCTCTGTGACTTAGTTTATCATTATGCCCTAAAGGTCCACTTTTGTTGTTGCAAATGGCAGGATTTATCTCTTTATATGGCTGAATAGCATCACATTATATACACTTGATTCATCCATCTGTTGCTGGACACTTAGGTTTCCATGTCTTGGCTATGGTACAAAATGCTTCAGTAACACGGGAGCACAGATAACTCTGTGACACAGTTATTTTGTTTCCTTTAGATAAATACCCAGACGTGGAATGGCTGGATAATATGGTAGTTCTATTTTTAATTTTTTCAGGAACCTCCATACTATTTTCCGAAGCACAGAGACACAGCCCAGGGGGCTCCTGTACAAGAACCCGAGCTGGTCCTCAGCTGGGCCCCCACCTCTGCAGCACAGGAACGTGTGGCAGATGGCATTTCCTGCCAGGCTCTGGGGTTCCTCCCCACCCACTGCCTCAGAGCCCCATCTTCCTTTCTCTCCTCTCCTTAGGAGACCCATGTCCCTGTTAGTGCTGCATAGAGGTGACAGGCTGAATTCTTTCTCTCATCAGTGTTCAACCTGACAAGACAGGTACATGGAGGCTAGAATCACCCACAAAATGCCGCTGTTTCATGGGCTGCTGTCCTTGTAATTGACGGAACAAAAATAAACCCAAAGTCAACTTTGATTAAAACGTGGATTTCACATCAAAGTAGCATTAGCAGATAAGAAAGCTAATAGACTCCAGAGTTACATATATGAGCTCTCTCACCATGAAGAAGGAAACTGGTCCAAAATGCACGAATAAAATAATGTCTGTGCTCTCATGATGGAGTGTTTGACACAGACGATGTTCAGCAGTTTCACATGGGAGTTGTGACAGATAAACTCTGTTCGAGGACTTGATTTTGTCCCTAAAGGGCCATGAGGGCCCACAATAGTGATACACCCAAACCTGGAAACGGAAATCCCTAAGTTTGACTACAGAAGCACATGGATTATAGCTGATGAGCAATCTGGCAGAGAAGATATACCAAAGCGTCTCTCATGTCATCTCAAGTTCAAGATTGAGCATAAAATCAGAATTGTCCACATTTTATGAAGACTATACCATGAAAAAGAATCATCAGAGTCTATAAATTAATAAAGAAACAAATATAGAGTTAATACACATGAATAACTATGTCAGGACTTTGACACATCAGAGAAAGAATTTTTTAGATAAACTGCAAAGCATGAAATTATTCACAGACAATAATAATAAAAATTATGTTTGAAAAAGCAGGATCCATTAAAGAAAATAAAATTATAAGTTAGACTACACCAAATTAAAAAAAAATTGTGCCTACATGACTATCCAGAGAATGAAAGACAAGCCACAGACAAGGATACATAATTGCCTATCACATACTCAACCAAGGGCAGTGTCCAGAATATAATAAGAGCCCTCAAAACTCAATAGAAGAAAAGGAAACAACCGTGTGTTTTTTTTAAAGATTTTTCTCTATTGGGGAATCAGGGAAGGGGAATAGACAGGTAGACAAATTGCTTAAGATCAGGAACAAGACAAGGTTGCCCACTTTCACCACTTTTATTCAAGATAGTTCTGGAGGTTCTAGCCACAGCAATCAGACAACAAAAAGAAATAAAACACATCCAAATTGAAAAGGAGAAAGTAAAATTGTCACTGTATGCAGATGACATGGTACTATATAGAGAGAACCCCAAAGACTCAACCCAAAAACTATTAGAACTGATAAATGAATGTAGTAAAGTAGGATACAAAATTAATATTCAGAAATCAGCAGCATTTGTATACACTATAATAAACTATCAGAAGAAATTAAGAAAACAATCCTTTTTACATTGCTTCAAAAACTATAAAATACTTAAGAATAAAATTAACCAAATAAGTAAAAGACCAGTACTCAGAAAATTATAAGACACTGAAATGAGAAATTAAAGAAGATACAAATAAATGGAAATACATATCATGCTCATGGATAGGAAGAATTAAGATACTTAAAATGTCCATATGATCTAAGGCAGTATATAGATACAACACAATTTCTATCGAACTACCAATGACATTTTTCACAGAAACAGAAACACACAATCCTAAAATTTATAATGAACCATAAAAGACACCGAATTGCCACAGCAATGTTGAGAAATAAGAACAATGTGGGAAGTATCATGCTACCCAACATCAAATCATACTACAAGGCTATAGTAATCAAAACAGCATGGTACTGGCATAAAAAAGACAAATATATCAATGGAACAGAATAAAGTGCTCAGAAATAAATCCTTTACTGATATATCTATCCCCTTGGGCAAGAGAGTAAAAGAAAAAAAATAAACGGAATTACATCAAACTAAAGATTTATTTCACAGCAAAGGAATCCATCAATAAAACAAAAAGGCAGCCTATTGAAGGGGAGAAGATATTTGTCAATAATACACCTTAGAGGTGGCTGGTTAGCTCAGGTGGTAAGAGCTCAGGCTCATAACACCAAGATTGCCGGTTCCAGTCATGGGCAAAGGAGCTGTACCCTCCACAACCAGACTGAAACAATTACTTGTCTTGAAGCTGATGGATCCTGGAAAAACACACTGTCCCCTAATAAAATTTCAAAAATAATAAAAATAATAATAATAATGTATCTGATATGGGGTTAATATCCAAAATTTATAGAAATTAAAAAAAACTCATTCAACTCAACACGAAAAAAACAAACAATTCAATTAAAAAATAGGCAGGTAACATGAAAAGACATTTCTCTAAAGAGGGCATACAGATGGCCAACAGACATGAAAAAATGCTCAATCAACCTCATTAATCATTAGAGAAATGCAAATAAAAAACACAATGAGATACCACCACACTCCTGTCAGATTGGCTATCATCAATAAATCAGCCAAAAAGTGCTGCCGAGGCTGTGGAGAAAAGGCAACCCTTGGGCACTGTTGGTGGAATTGCAGGTTGGCGCATCCACTATGGAGATATGGAGGTATCTCGAAAACCTGGAAATGGAACAACCTTATGACCTGGCGATTCCACTATTAGGTATCTATCCAGAGAAATCCAAGACGCTAAGTTGAAAAAACACATGTACCCCTATGTTTATTGTGGTGCTATTCACAATAGCCAAGACTTGGAAACAACCTAAATGCCCATCGGTAGACAACAGGATTAAGAACCTGTGGTTCTTGGGCTGACCGAGTGGCTCAGTTAGTTGAGAGCTTGCTCAAGAGTGCAAGCTCTGAGCAACAGGGTTGCTGGTTCGATTCCCACGTGGGCCAGTGAGCTGCGCCCAAGCTGAGCTGCCAACAGGTGGTAAGATGGCTCAGCTGGTGAGAGCATGTGCTCCTAACAACAAAGCTGCCTGTTCAACAAGGTGAGCTATGCCCACCCGCAACTGAAGACTAAACTCGGCATCTTGAGCTGAGCTGTTACCCGGGTGGTTCAGGGGATAGAGCACAGGCTCTTAACAACAAGGCTGCTGGTTGGACTCCTGCATGGGATGGTGGCTACGCCCACTCATAACTAAGACTGAACTCGGCACCTTGGGCTGAGTGGCTGTGAGCCACCCACGGGCGCTCCGATGATGACTGGACTTAAAGCTGGGCTTGCTGCGCCCTCCACAACTAAGATGGAAGGACAACAACTTGTCTGTTCCCCTCCCCCAATTCCCCAATAAAATCTTAAAAACATAAAAATAATTCTAAAAAAAAGAGAGAAAAAAAGACATCCTCACTACGTTGGCTTCCAATGAAGCCTGCAGACAGAAATCTGTGGTGTGCTCACACGTAAGAATCTCCACCTTAGGCCGGCCAGTGTCAGATGCCCCAGGGCCTCATCTCCAGCAGCCTGAGGAGAAGTGCCGGCTTCCAACCTGTGACTTGACTCTACTCACAGCATCAACTGTAGGGAGGAATTGTTGTAACTTCTACCCTCAAGGTTCTTCTGGCTGATCTAAGAATCAAATAGACAGGAGACAGGTTAGCAAGAGAAAATGAGTGGATGTCATACGTACACAAGGGAACCCACACACAAGAGAGAGTCAGGGACCCCACATGCAGGAGAGTTAGTTAGAAAATGAACATGGGTATAGAAAATGTCCTGAGCTAGGGATGATGTAGGTGCCCTGGGGGCTTCAAAGGGTCATTGCAGAATGATAAGAGCAGATGGTTGGTGACTGTCAGTTTGCCTTGCCCTGTAGGTGGTCAAACAGAGATGGTGGCCGATGATCTCTTATTATGAGCAAAGCCCTTAATTCCTGTTACTCTGGACAGTTAGAGGGACAGAAGTTTATCTTCAGGAAAAGATAAAATCCACCCTCAGCTCAAAACAATCTGCACACAGCAGAAGCACACCTTGGGGTCACCTGTTGTGGACCCCACATCTTCATTCTCAAATTGCTGCCACAGGATGGATAAAACGACATAAAAGAAGAGTTGGGTCCAGGCTGTATTTCTGGCAGGTGGACTAAAATAAGGTTCGCTGTGTATATAAGCTAACGCTTTCTCTTCATAGAATTTGTGGAAAAGGCACTTAAGACATGTATTTGTCCCTGGCAAGGGAGGCTCGCAGCTGAAACAGGGCCCGGTTGGCACCCCCAGAGTAGAGGCCTCTCCACGTCCCCGGCCTCACCGTCCCTTGACCTTCCTATAGCTTAACAATAGATTGTCCCTCTGTGGCTTGAGCTCAGTGTCCCCAGTCCCGTCCAGTTCCCTGCTTTAGAAAATTACCCTGAAACTTATGATTAACACCCTTTGGCTTATTGATCACCATCTCCATGGTCTTCCGGGCTAATCCCATCCTAGTTCCTGGGTTGCTGACTCCACCAGAGAATCACGGGGCCAGAGGGAAGGCTCCATGCAGACCCCTGGAACCATCGCGTGGCCTCTGCAGGAACGCCCTGATTTTCCCTTAAAAACCCCAGCT